TTCAAAAAAAAAAGTATAGGTGGTCCTTCAGCGCCTTCGTAGAGCAGCGTACATACAATGGACCAGTCATAATTTGACTCTATTTCGAAGACCTGTATTTTTTGAAAAAATTGACCGATCTTTATGCGGTTTTCGATATCAGATGTGATATTTCATCTGCTTCAAAGAGAGCTAGAACACTCTGGAAAAGTCCACAGAACAAAACTTACACAAGGTGTAGAGTGGAACACTATATGTTCTATATTTCCAATGCTGCCAAAACTCGACAAATTCTTTTCTGATCAAAAGTCAGTCATATTATGATACACTGGGACCTCATCTCGCGACGTTTTCGTGATTTGCATTTCTTGAATTTTCTCTCTAAGAACTCCACTTGAGCTGACTATTGGGAAGAACTGTTCTAATGTTTTGTGGAGGACAATAATGAAAGACGAAAAAAGCACTATTGTGGAATATAAACAGGATGATAAGAAAATAGGGCAAAATCGCATATCAGTGAAAAAATATCAAAAATTACTAACTAATACCATGGCCTATTCGATTCAGTATATTCAGAAACATTTTCGAAAATTCGCTTCTGATTGAAATACAGGATGAAAATTTTCAATTCAAACTTGTTTCCTGATATCGATCATTCTTATCAACTGATTTCCAATATTTATTGCCGAAGTATGAGACACAGAGTATTGTTGTTCAATATACTGAGTGTTTCACAACTCATCTGACAAATTTCAACCACAACTATGATATTACATAAGAAGTCTATCACATAAAAATGCTATAGAAGTACAACGAGATAGAGATTGAAAATGAAATTTATAACACTTTATATCCGCTAAAATTATTTGAAATGGGCTCTATTGGCGAAATATGGCATAAGTGAATTCTTCAGCATTATGAAGATCCAACTAGAAAGTCCCATATCCTAAATTTCAGTACCTATACTTGGTAGGGCCTCCCCGATTTAACAAAAGCTATCATGAAATCGGTTTGGCATAGATTCTATGAAGTTGTTGATGAAGTCTATTGATATATTGCCTCCCATTCTTCTGATACAGCTTGGATAAGGTTGTCATCATTTTGGAATGCTTCTCGCCTTCCCGATAGGTTGGGTTCACACATGTTCAATCAAATTTAGATCTGGAGATAATGATGCTGGTCACCACATTTTTCTTATATTATTGTTTTCTAGAGTTCGTAATTTGTCAGATAAGTTGTGAAACACTCAGTATATTGAACAACAATACTCTGTGTCTCATACTTGGGCAATAAATATTGGAAATCAGTTGATGAGTATCATCGATATCAGGAAACAAGTTTGAATTGAAAATTTTCATCCTGTATTTCAATTAGAGGCGAATTTTCGGAAACGTCTCGAGAAAATTGTCTAATATAAATGGATGTGGGATGGATGGAAATGGATATCGAAAACGCCGTTTCTGGATATACTGAAACGAATGGGCCATGGTTTTTCAGTCACCATTAATGAATTTTTTTACTTAAATGATATTTTGTCCTATTTTCTTATCATTCCACAATATAGTGCTTTTTTCGTCTTCCATTGTCCTCCACAAAACATGAGAAGAGTTCTTTGCAATAGTCAGCTCAAGTGGAGTTCTAGAGAAAAAAATCAAGAAATGCAAGACTGTCGAACAAAATTCCGATTCTTTTCCGAAAGTCTTGCATTTCTTGAATTTTTTCTCTAGAACTCCACTTGAATTTCTGTTCCAAATGGCCAATTGAGGAGAAATCACGAAATCGTCCCGAGATGAGGTCCCAGTGTATCATAATATGACTGACTTTTGATCAGAAAAAAATTTCTCGAGTTCTGGCAGCATTGGAAATGTAAATGTAGACCGTAGTGTAATGGTTCCACTTTACACCTTGTGTAAGTTTTGTTCTGCGTACTTTTTCAGAGTGTTCTAGCTCTCTTTGAAGCCGATATGGAACATCACATCTGATATCGAAAACCGCATGAAGATCGGTCAAAAAATACAGGTCTTCGAAATAAAGTCAAATGATGAGTGGTCCATTTAGTGTGTTGAGAACTGTAGATATACATATTGATTTGATCGATACATTTGGTGAAAACTTGCTGAATAAGTAGTTATACATAACATATATAACCTTTTACCTATATAGTATAATCATAAATAGGTATATTTGAATTATTGATGTAAATATTGTATATGAAATATTGATGATATTGCAAACTAGGATGTTTATCATCATTATAGTTTTATGCATAATTTCTATTTGTGAATATAGGTTGATACCAGACAGTGGCGTAACTATAGCTACTATACCGCAAACCAAATTTGCTTCATTATACCCTACTCAAAGATTATTACCTATTCATTGTTTTTTCTGTAGTGGGAGGAATGGGAGGATACTAAAGCGTAGATAAAGGCCACTGTTGTGTGTATTTTATTTCATTTCTTTATTCAGACTTTTTTCTCCGAATTCAGGCTTTTTTCTCGAATTCAGACTTTACAGATAGAGTGGGTTTTTTACTTCATCCAAAATGCTACTTTCACAGATTTTTTGCAGACTATGAATTAATTTTTCAAAATACAGTTATATTCGTATGACTTGTCAAACATAGCGACAATCAAATATATATGTTGAATTTATTTAAAATTTTGTTGAATTCCTTCCCGAAACCCGCGTAGTATAAAAATTTTGTTGTATATCATTATATGTTCACCTCCTTCAAGTTAAATGGAGATTTGGATTGTGGGAATAACGACAATAAAAGTGGCCCAAATTTTTAAAAATTGTCCTTATTCTCGCAATCCAAATCTCCATTGTTTGTATTGTAGAAGTTGTTTTAAAGCAGGCGTTGCTTTTGGCATGTTTGTTTGTTTCACATAGGTACATATTATTTGAATCATAAGTAACAAGATTATTACGGAATATTATAGATTTGGACAATGCACATATCGCAAAAATACCTGAATGATTTATGTAGAACCTCGGATGTCATGTGGCAAGCAATATTCCCACACTCAAATCAAATAAAGGAACCATATTATACCTTATTATAAGTAGCCCTGAGACAGTGATAAACATAAGGAAATTACTCATAACTTGAAAACGTCGCAACCGATTTTGATTTTTTTTTTCAGCGATGAAAATGCGAATGATGTCGAGATAAATCTGTGATGAAAAATATAGGGTGTTCCATTTGAAAAATTCTAATGACCGTCGTCGGAATCTTACAATATTCGATCAGAATGTATACATTTTAGCACCCTGTAGAGGATGTCTCGCAAGATTACTGGATTAGTGTACGTGAGACCTTGCTACTCTACTGTATGCCAAAAATATTTCCAAAATTTGAAAATGAATATACCATACCGAATTCAACATGAACCCCTCAATAGTAGTAAAAATGGGTTTATCAATTATAACTTGGCAACGCCGCAACCAAATTGAATTGTTTTACAGCAATGTAGAGCTAAACCTTAGCGAAATGAATTTCGAATAAAAAATACTAGGTGTTCTATTTAAAAAAAACTCATCTTCGAGTCGTCGTCCCGCTTTTATGAAACACCCAGTATTGTTGAAAATATTTTTGAAATAGAAACCTTTAATACCGGAAGGAATTTGTTTTCAAAAGTTTTTCTCTTGTGATAATGGATTCCGAGATATCGAAGAATTCTTCTTAACTCACACAAGTCTCTGACTTTCGAGGGTTGCTTTGCAACTAAGCTGGCGGTTAAAAACACTTTTTTTTTTTTTTAATTGCGCACTAAATGGACACAGTGTATAATGACATGTATTAACATAATAGATACATTTTTTTCTCTTGGATCGAAGAAAATTCTTATAATGTTCATGAAACAACAAGCGTAGCGAGTGCATCAACAACTACCTAGATAGCACGTCGGGATGTCCATTTTTTGTCCGAACGTTCAGAACCTTTTATGGACGTTCTAAAGACATCCATTATTGGACATACTCGGGACGTTCAGATAAGTAGTTAGGTATTTATCAATTTTAAAATCAGAATAATTGAATTGAATATATGGATATAAATGATGTTTAAAATAGTTATTTATACAACCAAGGTAGTAAAAGAATATCATTATTACCCAGAGGGACCAAGATTATATTATTATTATATATATATCAGGGATTATGAAAATGGACATCTAAATAGTATCCAAAGGATATCCTATGGACGACCAATGGATATCCTAGTCCGCCAACCTGGATGTCCATAGGATATCCTATATGAACACCCATGAAAACATAAGGGATATCTTATGGACGTCCATGAAGGATATCGTATGGACGTTCTTGAACGATGTTCTATGGACGTCATTGAAGGATATTTTATGGACGTCCGTGAAGGATATCCTATGGACGTACAAGTTGGTGGCCTCAGGACATCCATTGGACGTCCATGGGATATCCATTGGACGTTATTTGGATGTCCATTGGATATCCAAAATATCCTGAATGGATATCCTATGGATATCCATCGGATGTCCATGTGTTGTATGGGCAGCAACGCTGAAGGATATCAATTAGATGTTCATAGGACGACAACCCAGGGACGTACGAATTGTTCTTGAATCAGATTATTTCTGGGTCCCTCTAGGAACCAGATCTTGCATAACTGATGAGGACATCTAGTTGAGTTGATGGTCCGTAGAACGTCCCCAATAGATCCTGAAAAAGTTTCCCGAGGATGTCCAATGCATGGACTTACGTGTGAAGGACATTGACGGGGAGTATATTTATAGCCTACGAGCAATCATTCGCAGGCGCACGTTTATACAAACTGATTGATCTAAAACTGCATCTAAAAAAATAATCATTATCATTATGCAATATGCATTATGCCTACAAAAGCCGAAAGTCAAAGTCATGGTAACGACAGTGCGACAATCTCGACCTGTGCTCTCGACTCTCAAGAGCCGAGGCACTTCTTGACAATCTTGGCCACATGACCACAAATGCAAATGACCGTTAATGACTTGATAATTGATAAAGAGTCAAGTAGAAATGACAAGCACGATGACGAGCAGTAATTCAAGAGAGCAAGGGAGCGTGAAGCCCTGAAGCAAGTTTGAAGTTTGCGTGACAACAACAGGTTCCTAACCTAACTACATTTTGAATTTCTGGTTTTCAAAATTTATTTCTATAATTCCATTTGAATCATTTACTAATAACAGCGATTATGACTGGAGGAACATCTTTTTCAGTGGAACCAAAACATTTTCTTCAAAGTGGGATTTTCAATCAAACGCTGAGAGACTGGCATGGACTGAACTATGAAATTTCAGCTAAAAATTTAATGTATCCTGTTTTCATAGTGTGAGTGGAATAAAATGCATTGAATATATTTAGTCAACATGTTCCCTTATTATTTCTTCTAGGGAAGACGACAATGCTGTTCAACCAATAAGTAGTATGCCAGGAATTTCTAGATTTGGTATTAACAAATTGAAGGAACATCTTCAAATAGCAGTTGAAAATGGACTGAGTTCTGTCTTGTTGTTTGGAGTAATAGACAGTCTGACTAAAGTAAGAATTTAATATTATTCACAATCATATACCTACACCTTGTTCTAAATTCAACAGTGATGTTCATATTATCCAGTGATGTCAAACTATGGATTGGTGGATCTTCATAAATCATATTTGATTCCTTGAACAATCTATCATTTATCACCTTTATACAGGTTGTCTGCAAAAAGGAGGTCACACTTTCAACCATATATGCAATCACACAATACCGTTTTACCACTAACCAAACAGATAATACCTGGACATGTGTTTTGCTATGATAGCATCTCCAGGAGAAGATTAAAACTAAATATCCTATTCTAGAATGCTGCTCATATACTAGGTATGTCCACCTAACTCCCTAACTGTGAAAGACACTAACACAGTCAATGTCTGTCTTGGTTTAGTTCACATGTTGATCTTCATCCTAAATTACTAAACTATGTAGAGGGCTATAAGAAATATAATAATAATAATAAAGGTCTTTATTATTTTCAAGTAGTACTCATACATTTTGTGAATAAAAATAAACATATTTTTTGAAAATAAAGGGCTAAGTTCATTTTCTGTAGAGAAACAGTAGCTTCACTATGCAAATGCTCTTCCATTTATCATTATTCATAACTCTTAATAATACCATTTTAGCATTCTTCACTATTCTCAGGCTCTTTTATGCATTAACATGTTTGACCAATTTAAGATTATTAATGTGTGTTATGATATGATAGTGATTTACCATAATATGTTTGGCAAAAATCCTACACATGGGTTATCTAATCTAGTTTCCATATTTTGAATATGCCAGAGGTTTCCTCCTAATCCAGTTTTTATTGGTTGCCTCATTTGACCTTCCCATGCTTTTCCATGTTATTCTACAATCCTTACAAATGATTTTGTTGATTTCTTACTTTTCAAGTGTGGCTACACAGACTGATATAATAAGCTCTCAAAATCTAAGACTGAAAACCTTATCAAGTTTTTTTGTATACCCAGGATTGAGGGTGATTGAAATTGCTAGAATTTCAATAATATATTTAACTAAAATTATGTCCATGAATTAGTTTATCTGTTATTTTGATATCATATAACCATTAACACTAGACATTTCATGAACAACTTCTTTCAACATTGAATCTTTCTTTGTTCAAAGGAAATGCCAAGTTAATGTGAGTTTCAGAAAAAAGTAGAATGTGGCAACAATGGCTGTACCATTTTCAGATTACCCAGATATTTGATTGCTCCTGCCCAATCCTCTTTTGACACAGATACAGAGGGTTCTCTATATTGAGATTACAATTTTTTCATGAAGTTTGAGATAGATATTTACATAATCAGTTAGGAAATACCTCATTCTCTGTGTTTTGCAGGATATCTTATTGTGCCCCATCTTCTTCTGCTATCTCGAGGTTTTCTTGTTTATAGCAGCCCCTCAAGCTTCAATTCTTTTAGGAATCCCAGGATTTTGAGGTGATCTGTTTGTGGTATTTCTTCCATGGTCAGCTGGTATGCTCCCAGTATATTCTATCTTTTGTGGTGTCTCATCTTTACACAAAATACATTTTCTGACAATTTTATTTTTATTTCAATGCTTGGGATTACTATCAGCAATAACCTTTCTTGGGAAAATCAAATGAGATCAATTGCTAAAAGTGCATCACAAAAACTTGGTTTTCTGTTTTGGGCCAGGAGCTATTCCACTTCCAGTCAGCTGCTTATGATCTATTAGGCAGAGATCCGACTTGTCCTGGAATACTGTTCCCATATTTGAAGTGCAGCTCCCAGACATACCCTGAAACTGTTGGATTCTGTCCAAAAAAGGGCAATTTGTCTTGTGGGTGATGACTCGTTCACAAACCCACTCACTTCTATAGGACACCATAGAGAAGTTGGCGATCTGGTTCTATTTTATAGATATTTTTATGGATGATGCTCTTCTGAAATATCAACAATTGTTCCTCCCTTGGCAGTCCCCGCGAGATAAATCCGTCGAGTTGAGGCTTCGCACCTCATCGTGGTCACTTTGGAGACCTGCAGAACATCTCTTTCCAAAGACTCATTCATTCAACGAACAGCGAGGCTCTGGAAAACATTGAGAAGGGAGGTTTTCCCCGAGGCATATAACCTCCAGAAATTTAAGTAGAACACCAATTCCTACCTTGTTTCCCTTGTTTCTCATGATGTTTTCTGAACATTACAGGATATCCCTTTTTGTGGGAAAAAAATGTCACTGGAACAGAAATAATGACCAGTTAGGTCTACATGAGTTCTACCTAAGGTTCTTCCGATTATGTACAAAATTTAGTAGGCTCGTTTCATATTTTCATTATTGGAAAATGGATGATTCAAGTTCAGATTTCCCAAGTGATATCGATAAAGCAGTACAAAATGCACTATTCTCTTCGTCCATCCATATTATTATTACATAGTTGGTGTTGAAATGAACATTTCATCACCAGCTAGGTAATATTTCATTTTATGCAACTGATGGTGACGTATAGTAACACATTTAGAGACTTCCGTCAGTTTTGAAAACTGTCAAATTACATGTCAAAGGTAGAAAAAAACTTGGATATGTATATTCAATCTTATTTTTGTGATCAAATTTGAATCGGCAATTTACTTCAAGAAAAAATAATTGAAAAAATAGTTTGGCTCCTCCGCCAATCGGATGACGTTGAACCTGAAAATGTTTTTACAGGACAAAAGTACGTCGCGAATACAACGTTGCCGGTTCAATTTAAAATGTCTATGTGATTCTGAAAGTATGATAAAGTTCTAGGTTTCCTTTATCTGAAATCGTTAATATTCTTGTCTTTTATCAGGAGTGCTTGATGAAAAAGTTCCCATAAACAATAGTCGTAAAAGGCTTCGTTTTCGACATACAGGGTGTTGAAGTTGAAAATATTTATAGATTTCTTATGTCCACCCTGTATGGCTTATCGTGGTGCCGAAATTTAGTCTGTTATGTGACTGGCATAGTGCCACAATTACTACAGAATGATATCTTGGACCAGGGTCGATAATTTCTGAAACAAAAAAAAATAGTAGTATGAAAGCCGTTGAGAAAGGAAGAGAATATAACAAAGATGAAAGGGAAAATTAATTACGGGCGATCTGAGGTCGGGAAGTGGTAGGGGGGTGAGTTTTCAAGGGTAAAAAAAATCTTAATTTCCAGCAAAACTACGAGCCCTATGGAAAAAAGTTTAATAGCAAAGTTGTAGCTAATAAAGAGACCTACAACTTTTGTATCCAAACTTTTTTCACATAACCTCAAAATTTATGTAAAAAATTCAAATAATCAAGTTTTTGGTTTTTATTTTTATCTTATGCTAATAATTTTTTTTTCCACGAAATTTGGTGAAAACTTACCTTTTCATGTCCTGAAGACACTGTAGTTTTTCTGGATTGAAATATTTAATTTTTTTACCTCATTTTGACTTTATATCGAAAAAACGTTTTTAGTTCGTTGAAATCTCTCCTTCCTGATAATTTAAAAAAATATACACATCACTATAGTAAATGTTCACAGAGAAGCATGGAAAAGAAAGAAACGCGAATCCGATTTTTTTTTAATCACTATGTACAATTTTGAGCGATTAGGTGAAATTTACACTTTAATTACATAAAGATTGCAAGGGACATGTGAAAATAATTGTTCCAAATATTAAAGATAGGAGTTGAAGGAAGTTAGTGATTCAGATGGAATTGTGGATGAAGGACCAATTCAGACTAAAAATACTATTGGATATGAAGACGGTAATGATCTTGAAGATTTCAAAGATCTACTAGAATCGGAAAGGTTTGTCGAATCTAACGATGAAGAAATGCCACCGAAGAGGCAAAGAGTAATGAATAAGTTTATCAATTGATGCAATTTGAATATTTTGATTGCTTTCTAGTTATTAACACCAATTTTTATTGCCATTTTTGTGTTGAAAATGGGAGCAGATTCATTCTCAAAACGTCAAAAATTAGGTGTGAAATTTTATATTTTTAGATTTATGTCAGTGGTTGTCATAGTGTCCTTACTCCAAATGTACAAAAATGTCGAATCCATTGAAGAACACTAGTAATTGCTGTCGCTATTCGTTTATTTTATTTTTAGGATGACAATGCATCCAATGCTGACAGTAAAATGAATCCGGTGATCAGAGCCCTACCTAAACTGAGAACTTGGTTTCCAAATTTGACAATTGCTTGTGACGTATGCTTATGTCCCTATAGCTCACATGGACACTGTGGAATACTGCGACAGGATGGAACAATTGAGAATAGTGCAAGTTTAGAGAGGATTTCCGATGTGGCTCTAGCTTATGCTATGGCAGGTAAAACTCATAAATTCAATCATTGTCCTTCGAAATAAAACCTATTAGGCGACGTATAATATTATGTATTCATCAAATAGTTAGTTTTCTATCTAGTGCAAGAAATGATACTAAGTATTTTGCGCACAAGTTGCAAACGAATTTTTTTCTACAAAAGTCAAACAACATTGTTCTGAAATGGGTAATATGCTCTGCATGATATAAAAAAAATAAGTTGAACTGGCTTGGAAATCCATAATTATTGTTAAACATTTGGAAATAAATAATATCTTGGATTTTTGCTTGATTGTTCACTTGGCATATTGTTATCAATGCGCGAACCTTGTCATTTTTTGACGTTTGTAGAAAAACCTATTTTGAACTAAGTTATTCATTTGTCAGATCATGGACAGATCTTATTTTCTCTTTGTCTTTGTATTTTGTATATATTCAAACATATTTCCATACCAGGGCTGTCGATTTTGAAGCATTAATATATTTATTTGTGATTGAAATTTTTTCTTCTTTAAAAACTGAATTTGACTTTTAGGTGCCCATATAATTGCCCCATCGGATATGATGGATGGGAGAATTGGTGCAATAAAGGCTAAATTAATAAAGAATGATCTTGGAAACAAAGTAGCAGTTCTTTCTTATGCTGCCAAGTTCGCTTCAAATTTCTATGGCCCATTCAGGTGAGACAGCTTTCTCATTCTATGTACATCGGGTCCTAAATTGTTTGTCCGCATAAGGGATCTTCGTTGATATTCACTATAGAAAAAACGAACCACGCATCACCGTCATTCATTTTGTGACAACCTCAATGTTGCTTTTGAATTTTCCCTTGGATGAGCTATCTTTGGCATCTGTTTATTAATCAATTCCGAGGGGCATTTCGCTGAGTAGACTGGTGTACACTAATTCCTCAATACCAAAATAATGGCTCATAATTCACTATATTATGTACTAGTAATTTCTCGTAATTCCTCGTAATTCCTCTCGATTCCTCTCAATCCCTGGGAAAACCCTCGCAATTGATATAATTCCTTGCAATACCTGGAAATTCCTCATATTTATTGTGTACATGATTGGGCAAAAAAGTATGGAACCAGGTGAATATCTCGGTAACCGTTTGTTATATTTCTTTGAATTCATGTACAGGATGATTTCAAAACGTGGTGGATTTGAAAATGTTATCGTCGATGTTGCCACTTTTCCAGTTATTCCGGAATTATTATTAACTTGCTTATTTTAAGTAGACCAACCTGCATTTTATTGTATTTTCAGATTCTCCCTGAAAAGCTGATTTCATCGATTCATCACACTTGGGGTCTAGCAAGAATGATTACTGAGATTCGAAACTATTTATTATCTGTCAAAACGGCTTACATCTCCCTAAGTTAACTTTTGATTCACTATCTACCGACATTTAATTGAAACAAATACAAGGGTGGTTCAAGATTCAGAAATCTGATCACCCTATATCTGTTCCCATCAAATACTAATAGATAGTAAATCAAAAGTTGAGATAGGGACATGGAAGCCGTTTTGACCGATAATGAATAGTTTCGACACAAAAAAAATCCTGACCCCAATTGTGATGAATTGATGGAATCAGCTTTTCAGGGAGAATCTGAAAATTGAAAAAAAAAAACGGCAAAAATAATATTTTGAGCACATAATATGAGTAGTAAAAATCGTCTGTGCATGAATAAAAAGTACATCGTTGAATAGACATTTTGATGCTCTTATCAGATACGGCCAAAAAATTGAGAAATTCAAATGTATAGGGTGTTGTTTTTGGGCAGAAAATATTTATGAATTTCAAGTGAAGCCGGACCGGGATTCTATCTTTTGATGATGCTTCAATCTATTCGACAGGATAGATTGAGTGAGTGTACCAATTTTCAACACAATATACAGGTTGGTTGGAAAGATATAAGACATCTTGGTTATAAGATGTCCAAGACCCATTAACCATGGTTCTTTTGAAAAGTGACCCCTATCCACAGTTGAATTATTTACCTTTCCCAATGAAACACCCTGTATAGCCCAGAATTTAGTATTGTATAGTGATTATACAAGGTGTTTTGGAAATAAGCATCTCGATATGATACAGTCAAACGAATATCTGCAAAATATCAGATTATTTATAATTCGATCAATTCTGAACCACACAAAAATATAATGGTTCTGTTTCGGTGATAATTTTCAGTTAATTAGTTTGAAGTATCAACCTAAACCAGTTCAATTTCGCAAGCCGTTAATAAGAATTGAAATTTACGATCTTTCAAGATGAAAAACGCAAGACCATTACAATGGAACTATAATCCATGCGACTTATCCAAGTTTCGTTGTATTGTATAGATTTTTTTTGCATCATCTGGAGTTGATTATTCAATCTCCTTTACTATTTCCATATTTCTGCTTCGCAAATATCTTCAATACTTACTGGAATATCATTTGCTGTTCAATTCTGTTTTTGACATTTACAATTGTCAAACTGACGCTCAACACTTGATAAACGAACAGCATATCTGATGAGATCTTGCGGAAAAGTTACTTTACCGCACGATTTTTGTATTCTTGAAAATGAGCATATTTAAAACTAACTAAATGATCTATGTAACTATTCGTAGAAAAAACATTGAACCTTCGCGTCGTTCGTGCAACTGCCGTCGCGTGCGAAAAATAGTTATTTATGTAATACCTAAGTGTGTAAAGTGGTACTTTTTTACAAGTAGGAAATGTAATGAGTGAAAAAAACACTTTATGCACGTGTTACATACAATATTTTTCCTACAAGTGTCAAAAAAGAGGACAACCTCATTCAACTTATGTTGTAAATGATTAAATGATATTCCACAATATTATTATCAAGTAGATTTCATGTCACTTTATTGATAACAGCTGGTTTCTAAGGACGAATTAGTCAGAGTCACCTTCAGCTAATTTGTTCAAATCGCTCATCCCGTTCGCTTTCAACGATGCAGATCAAATCATACATGAGATGCGAGCATATTATTATCTAGTACGCGAGTATATCGTGGCGCATTCTTCCCGCTCCCATCTCTATTTCACTAGCACTCCATACGAAATACGAAGCCAGCCGCCTTGATTTGTTCACTTGCTGCTGAATGCCGTAAAGGAGCCCATAGTCTTCGTTGTTGGTGGGCTGTTTTGTTCGTCGAACAAGTATGTTTCAACAAAAATGACGCAAATCCGGAGTGCACTATGCACTTCATTCCATCGACTAGCAACAACCATGAAAAATATTGTACTTTGTTTATACTTCTCCGTAATAGTATATTACATAACAAGAGTTGTAAAACGCATATTACGCACGAAGTGGTGTAACTCCACAAGTGCGTAATTGCTTTACAACTCGAGAATTGTACTATACTTTTTCTACGACTACACTATATTTTCTTCCTGATAGTGTAGATATTGTATTAAGGCACAAATAACGAATACCAATATAAAACGTCTCCCGCCGTTTTTCATATCTAAACAGCTTTATTCATAGGTAGCAAAAATCACATTGTATAAAAATATAAAATTTACATTCATATATTGGTTATTCATTTGTAACAGTGCAGCACGAGAGATTCTGTAATCGTTATTAAAAATAATAAAACAAAGTTCTCCAACTGCGCTCCGAACCACTGACCTTTGGGTTCGGAGTCAGCGCTTCCAACAACTGAGCTATCACCATTTCTCCGTTTCAGTAGATATTTCATAAATATAATTGCGAAGATTGATCTTTTTTAATTATTCCTGTTATTTAAAGAAAAAGGAATTCATCAATTCAATGTTGACTATGTATGTTATTTGAAAAATCACCTTCAACAGGAGCGTTCTGTAGCAACTCATTTTTTACCATTCTAGCTTTTTCCAACATTTCTGATGGTGGTGTAGAAATAATCTGCTCATCGTCATCGCTTGACATAATTTTTTTCAACTGAAATTGAGGATTATCAATAGAAAATAATCATATTTTCAAAGAATATAACTTAGCTGATGCTTTCGGTTTCGGTGGATAGCTGGATTGATTGATAAAAAAATAAGTACCTACCCACCTAGCTAGTGACATTAATGAAATTGTTAATTGTTATTGACACATCGCCTAAGCAACAAAACAAAGTCATCTATCAACATACCTATGAAAACCGTGCGATCGCTCTCTTTACGCACACGTGTGTAAGGAGAAGCTTACTGCCATTGTTTTGTGTACAATATCCATCACTTACAATAGTAGTCGTAGGAAATAGTATATTATATAACAAGTGTTATAAACGTCCTTTTAGTAACGAGTAGTTTAAGCACGAGCGGAGCGAGTGTTTAATAAACGAGTGTCTAGAAGAGTTTATAAACGCGTTACATACTATGATTTTTCTACGAACTCCAAAAATTACATTAATTAACATACCTGCTATTCCTGCTAACCTACAAAATAATTCGAAAGGAATGGGAATTAAAAACATAATACATACAACTGCATGCAACCAGCGAGACACGTATAAGTGATATTGGTTGTAGATCTGTCCAGTCCATTGCTTACTAACCTTTGTTTCACGTTTATTGTCATGCTTAGCGCTGAATAAATAAATTGTTCTAAAAGATGGATGCTTCATTTTTACACTTCTTGGAGCTATGTTAGTACCTGAACATTCTCTTCGATTTCACTCTCGTCTACTTTTCGCATATATTTTTAATGAAGAATTCCGATACAAACGAATATTGTTTGAATAATTCTGATACAAAATATGAAAATAACAGTTGACAGTTAATACAATTGACAGGCCAGACATGTCTCGAATTACTGAAGCTGTGTTTAATGAACTGCGTTGCCATGGTGATGTGTTTAAGAAATCGTGTTGCCATGGTAACGTGTTTGATATTTTGAATAAATCACAGATCGACAATTCGTGATTAATCGATCATTTAGCGTGGTAACATATCCGTACGATAAATGCCATTTTAGTTATATGAGTAGAAAAAATAATGAAACAGTATTGTTATTTGAAAAATTATACACTTTAGACACACAAAATACACTCACTGGCAAGAAAAAACGGCCACCAAAAAAGTTTGCCAAATTGTCCACCCTGTTACTTTTTTAATTCTCCAGATTTTTTTTGAAATTTCGAGCAAATCGTATTATAATGTTTCGGAATGTCAGTCTGAATATCAAGATCTAAGAAAAGCTGATGGCTTGATCATTATACAGGGAAGAACAAAAGTTACTCTTTCATCCTCAACTCCCTAACGCCCTGTGGAAAAGTTGAGAGGTTGAACTTGAGTTCATTAAACCTTAGATTGAAGTGTGATCCTTTCTTCTTATAACGGTTTTTGTTTCACGTCGATAACCACTTTTTAAGAGAAGATACACAAGTGTTTTAAGAAAGAAGGTCTCTTTTATTTTTATTAACAATAATTCAGAACCATTCTCCAATCTTATGCTTCATCATGTTTTGAATTGAAGAGGTATCCTTTTTCGCCCCTTCTTAACACAATGGTTCTTGATTCACGTCAATATCTTCTTTTCAAGAAAATATACAAGTGTTTAAGTGGATGATATCGATGATACTTCAGTTTCTCCCCTATTAAGGGGTAGAAGACGAGGTAAATATTTGAAATTCCAGAACGGACTCCGTCTTTCTCACTAAATATCTCCGCCTCGCTCGTTCGATAG